TGTTTTTTTGTTTTGTTTTTATAATATGTTAGTAAGAAGTGCACTCTATACATCGGTATGAAGTTTGCTTAAAATGGCCTTATGTTTTTCTTATAAATTGAGGTGAAAAATGGGGGGTCGGTTAACCTCTTCTCATATATTGAGCTGGTTTCCTTTCCCTTTTCCTATCCTTACTTCTGTGGCTTTGATGGTAATAGGAATATCTGAAAAAACTCTCACCATATTTTACCATTTCTCCAAAATTTCACGGTGATGGCAGGACGCGCCACTTCAATTCCTTGATATGATATAAGTAAATATTGATGAAACCACCAGTACTTGGCCCAGCTATCGGCCGCACGAAAAAATAGAGGAGAAATGCTTCTCGTCTGATGAATTTGGGCGCTCCTGTAGTGGCCCGTACATTTCATAAAATTGTGGCTTGTATACGTCACTACTTTAGGAAGTACTGGTCGTTTAATTGAAGGTGGCCTGATTGCAGATGCAGTGATGTTGCGGAACTTGCCAACACTCAAGGTTGTGCAACATTCTAAGGCAGCTAGATGGCTTACCCAGGAACTGCCTGTGCGGTCTTTCACCTTGAACCGGCTGTTGATCTCCCTTTCTTCCTCATACCTATTACTGTGTTTGCTCATGAAGAGGATGACCTCAAGAGAAGAGGTTAGGCGATACAAAGTAGGAGAAAGGAGGTGGAAATTCTTGAAGCCTTTCACCATGGACTTCAGCAGGTGGAAACAGCCACTGAAGATCATATCCTCCATGTGACCAACCTAAGAAGAAAGCAAACTGTGACAGTCCCAGACAATTGTGGAAGTAGTAGCTGCCGCTGCTGAGGCAAATACTGCTATAGACAGTCCTTCAAATGAGTATGGTTGTAGAACAACATGACCGGACTTCAAAAAAAAAAAAAAAGACCACCAGTACTTCGCCCAGCTATCAATGCGGACCCTGGGGATGGCCCTGCGCGCCACAAAATGAACCGATGCAGGCCGTTGATGAAAATCATCCTCGGCCGCAAAGGCCCCTAAAATTGCAGCGCGTATACAACAAGGGCCCGCGACCGATAAATGGGCCAAGTACCGGTGGTTTAAAGAACAGGAGGAAGTCATGAAGCCAGGGCTTAAGTTAAGGCTCTGTTCTTTTTTTAAATTAAAAAAGGAACAAAAAAGTTGGGGAAAGAAAAAAAAAAAATCAGAAGAAAGGCAACTGGTGAAACATCAGACAGGAAAGAAGAATTGCCGTCTCTCACAGAATCTGAAGAAAAGGAGCTTCAACTTCAAGCCCTTGCTGATCATTTTGACAACTTTGAACCTTTTTTTTTTTTGTTTTGTTTTTGGACTTAACTTTGAAGTTTGACAGCATTGGCTAAACAGACAGTGGAGGCTGAAGTCAAAGAGACAGTACTATAAAGAAAAAGAAAGTGTAACCGGCCTGGACCGAGATCCAGACGGACTGGCTGTCTGGGTCTGGGTACGGGGTCCGGTCCGATAGGTCTGGATTGGCCCCCCAAAAAGGATATTTCAACAAACAAATTGGGGCACATAGGACCTTTTCCGGGTCCTATTTCGGCCCCAAAAAATAAACCCGCTATTTTTCGGCCGTTTCACGGCCTACCGAACGTCACCAGACCCCGCCAAGAGTCAGTCCGTCATGAACTGACTTGCTTCCGAACGTCTGTGACAGCATGGAGCTGTCAAGTTCTAAACAGCAATAGGCGGGTGACGTGCTGTTACCTCCATGTGTGTGTATCACTGTGTAGTACGTACTATGTGGCAGTGTGTACCTCTAACAAGGTGAGTGTTGTTGCTTACACTTTGCATCTCAAGTGTGTCCTTGATTCTGCAGCATATTTTCTGTATGTCCTTGTTTTTTAATCCCGGTCCGGACACATTTTGGGTCCTGGGAACCATCTGGATGGTGTGGGTCCAGTGCTGTCCTGATGTCTGGTACCTGTCCGGATTTCCAGACGTCTCGATTGATCCTCTGGTTTTCTGTCTGGATCAGTCCGGTGTTCGGGTCCGTGGTTACCATGAGAAAAAGCCATGAAAAGTGAATTTGAGAGTTAGCCTTGATGGCCTCCAAACGTTCGATTTCATGGTCGCATCTGCAAACGAGAATTTGGAACCCAGATACTACGCCAGACACACGGAAACTATCAATTGTTGATGATATGGTCCAATCCTCGTGGCCTATTCAGCAGTCTCATGAAAGACATAAATCTATGGAATGCTGCCTATAAGAAGCTAGCACCGCCCTTTAGGGCCCAAATTTCCCCTCATAAAAGACATAAATCTATGGGATGCTGCCTATAAGAAGCTAGCACCGCCCTTTAGGGCCCAAATTTCCCATGTTGCAAAACGGGCTAAAATCCTGAGAAAAAAAACTGAGCAGAAAGAAGAGACTGCACCTGGTTCTCGTATGGACGTGGCCATTGCTGAGCTTGCAGGAATGAATGCTATCCTGAGTCGAGCACTAACGCAGCAAAAGGAAGACATAGATGCACTGACTAAAAAAATCACACCTTGACGAGGGGCGTTGCTGCCTTGGAAAAGGTTAAGGTAGGTGAAACAAGAACCAGGTAGACAGGTGAACCTGGATCCCACCGAGTGCCTGCACCACCTACTCCTCCTGAGTGTTCAAGAGGTGTGTCACTACATCTTCTTCTTCCTCTGATTGTCACAGTGAAAGGAGGGAGAGTGTAAACACTGTAAAGGTTAAAAAAAGAAAAAGAAAAAAAGGAGGGAGAGTGTAAAGCTAAAAAAAAAAAAAGACCCGGAAAAAAAAAACATTAAAAAAAACAAAAAACTTTAAAAAAGAGAAGATTGCGGTTCTGGCTCCTTTCCATTCTGGGAAGCATCAGTCCGGTTCCTATTCCACCGGCAAGTGACTTGGATTACAGCGGTCCGGGCTCTGCTTGGCCGAAGTGCCTTGCTCAGCTCAACAACTGTGCAACTTTGTAAGGGACGCTGGGCCCGGTTCCCAGCATATAATAATGCTTGTTTTGCAAAAAAAACAAGAAGAAGAAGAAACAATTACAATGGATACCCACGCATGCTCCTCCCCATTACGGTTGGGAGGCCCGAAAGGACGACATTGATCACTAGGGAGAGCGTAAAGTTTAAGATGCCCTCTAACCCTTTTTATTTTTTAACCCCCATAGGAAAGCCTTTAATAAAACACACAAAAAAGAGTAAGATAGGAGGGTAATGTTAAAAAAAAAAAGAAAGGAAAAAGGAAAGCTGTCTCTGCTGAGCAGCGGCTTTGGTTCTCCGGAAGGACGGCAAGTGACTAGGAAAGAGGTGTGTGTATGCTCTTGTACTTTTCTCTCTCCTGACGGCAGTGGTGAGTGAACTGGACTGCTGCTCCCCAGTCCATTCCTTTGAACAGTACCTTGAACTCACTAACAAGTTAGGGCACACTCGGATTATTATATTTTGGACGGAATTTCGCCACAAAAGACGTCAAGTGCATCCAAGAAAGTCCTGCTGTGAGTATGCCATCAGCCACGTGCCTACAACTGGAAGCTGAGTGTGGATATGACAAGTTTCTGACCGTTACGGGCTCGACTTTGTTGCAGATCTCTGTCGTTCAGTTTGACGGGGCGACCAATTGGCTTTGAGTGGTCCTTGGAGGAGGCACCACCAGGGGCCTTCGGCCCATTGATATCCCGCATCAACGACATTGGTGCAAGTGCAGATGAATCTGGACCCTCGACTTTGTCTCTTCCAATGTCTCTCCTCCCACAAGGAAAGTATGTTATCCGGTTGACTGTGCAGGACTTCCTATTGCGCCCGAGCTCGACACTTTTCAGGTTCACGTCTGTCCCATTCGAGGTGGTCCCACGGGTGCGTATTCTTGGTCCCACCGATATCACCATCAGGTATGATGAAGAACTGCGCATCGAGATTGATGTGGACCCCTGGTCACTTTGCGCTGACAGCAAGTTTGCAGATGCTTTACCACAGTCAAAAGTAGTTCCGACCATGGTGGTATTCCACTGGACGTTCAAGCCAAATTCTGCGCAGTTTATTCTGCCGAGAAGTCCCGGGAGCAGATTTGGCACGGACGGCAAGGTGACCTCATTCGTGAACAAAGACCTGATCATCCCAGCAAAGTATCCGTCTGTAAAGGTTGGTGTGCCATATTCAATGGAAATCACGGCTTCAATTCTGAACTCAGATAGTCAACTGCTGGCTAGGCCAGGCCGAGCAGAGGTCACGTTCACATATCAACGAGGACCTATTATGGCCAAAATATATGGTGGGGAACGAAGCGTCTACAGCAGTGATACACTGACGCTTAACTGTGCTGGATATAACAGTCTGGACACCATTGGAACTACAAATCCTTCTGTCCTTCCACAAGGTATTTCCTCTGTCTGTCTGTCTGTCTGTCTGTCTGTCTGTCTGTCTGTCTGTCTGTCTCTCTCTCTCTCTCTCTCTCTCTCTCTCTCTCTCTCTCTCTCTC